ATATGTTTAGGTTTAAAAACATACGGGATTTCCGATAATAGTTGAAATTAATCGAAATGATGGTAACCATTTTTTAAATGCATCTTTAACTGGTGATGTTTTTCTTGTTTGTTCAGTCGATGATAAAAGTTCATCTAGTAAATTATTTTTTTTGAATAAAAATAATTTGTATTTTAAATTATATATGTATACCTAATGTTCGTGTAAGAAGACTTGATAAAAGTGTTGTTAAACGATTAAGTGCTTCATGTAATAAATCATTTTCATCTGGATCAGCTGATGTACGACGAACATCACGTTCAATTGCTTGGAAAAGTCTAATAAAATCAAATCAAATTTATCACACGAAAATAATCTCTTAATATACATACTTTGTATCACTTAATGTATAAAGACTTTCATTATACGTAGATAATAAAACATATGTTAACGTATATGCTTTAGCACGAATTAGAATATTTGTATTTTCATAAAGTACATGCATTTTTGGTACTATATCCTATAATAAATCGAACATTTTTTATTTTTATAGGAGAAATTAGGAAAACATCATTGTTGTTTATCTAATCTGTAGTGCCAAAGTATCAAAATAACATATTTTTATTGACAGTTAGAAATCTCCGGATAAAGATTGGGAAAGTAGTAATTCAATGAAAAATATATCAATTTACTAATCAATTGATTGATGCCAAATTTAGATATAAATTATTATTCGATATATTTTGTGCATCTCGTTTTTCATTATTCTCTTTCATTTCATTTGCTGTTATCTCAGTGATAGTGTTGATATAAAAATACCATGTATTAACATGCGTTGCATGTTTGATAAAAAAGAAAGAAAACTACAGAATTTTATCAGGTATCGTTTCTTTGACAATATATTTCATTTCTAGCTCATCAATAGTCTATTTTTATCATATGCTTCGATTTGTATAGCTTGTTTTTCAAACTTTACTATTATGGATAGAGGAAAATTCTAATTAGTGCAATATTTCCCTAGATTGAAAACAAAAGCTGATATTGTATATGATTTTCTTTGGATTTATTACTTGTAAAAGCATTGAACGATTTTTTGTTCGTTTAGCTAAAATAGCTAATAGTGTTATAATATATTGTAGAACTTTGGAGGATGTTGATTGAAGTATATCGCCTTTGATAGTCACTTTATCAATAACGGATTGTACAACATCTGGATAGGATAAACCCATATGACATAATGCCTAAATAAGTAATAGTAACTTCTATAAATAGAAAAGCAAAAAAAAAGAATTCTGTCTACAGCTAATGCCGAAGCACGTAGATGTTCATTATTCCCAACGACGCTAGAGATATTCCAAAGTGCAAGAGCATTATCAAGTGTAGCCAATTTATCCGCTTGTTTATCAGCGACAAGTAGAAGATTTTCAATTGTTTTACATGCAGCATGATTAAGTGCAAAATCATCCTAATATAGAAAAAGAAATACTTTCTGAGAATAAATTAATGTTATTTATTTAACTTACACCATCTTTAAGACATCGACTAATTATTTGATAAGTAAAACCAGGTACAAGAGAATTATCAGATGTCTATAAAAATACATTCAATTAATATTAATAAACACCAAAAAAAAAAAGATAATATACTCGTCCGGCAATAAATATCATAATTTCTCCAATAGCTTGTATCAAATATAATCTAAATTTTGTTTCTTTGCTATTTGCTCGAAGTGCTTCAGTAAGCGAGATAAGTGTCTAGAAAAAAACAGAAAAGGGCAAATTAAAAAGAAAATTAACAAGCTTATTCCTCTTAATTAGATTAAATGAAAGAATTCATTGACGGTAACATAAATGATATAAGATTGTATTTGCATATTCTCTTTTCTCTGTCCTTCCGCCTTCGCTGATTTTCACAAGGACATATAGACATTTTCCTATTGCTGCTTCTTCTTCTTCTCTTCCTTTTTTTTGCTCTTTAAAGTACTCGTTCTTTACTTATCGTCTTACTCCACGTGACAAATCATGCATTCAGACGTGAGATGCAGATCGAAAGAGAAAAATGATGACGACGATGATAGTATGATATATATATATACACACACACATAGATATAGATATATATATATGTGGATGCAAGACTGCGCATTCGTAATAATAATATTCTTTAATAAAATTTTCTCTATATTTCATCAAATATACATACATCAGTAAGTGAAGAAGAAAGTGGAATATTTTCAGTTGCTTTATTGAATATAATTCCAAGTACACGAGTTGCTTTCATTTTTCTAAATATATTAAAAAAAAAGAAAAATTAATAAATGAATTTTTTTTATTATTTAGAATAAATGGCTCGTTTAATACGTCGTCAATCAATGGAACGTTTAGAACTTTATGATCTGGATAAATTATTAGCTATTCCTTCAACAAATTTTGATTTATCGCCACCACCACCAATACCGCCTCCACGTAAATCTCATCCAAGACGTGCATCAATGAATCCAACATTTGAGCGTTATCAATTTCTTTGTAATATGACACGTAATAAAACCGATCCAATCTATGCGGCTACACCAATGTTTACAACAATACCACAATTATATCAAGAGAAAACTCATCGACAATTACTTGGCTCTTATGTTCGTTTAGAAAATGTAAAACCATTATCTCCGAAAATAATCGTATCACCCGAACCTAAAAGTGCCGAGATACTTGAAGAAGAGAAAGAAAATGAAGGTAATCGTGATGATGATGATGATGGTGACGCTATGGCAATGGAAAAAAATGATAATGATGGTGATGGAAATCAATTTAGTGGTGGTAGCAGCAGTAGTAGTAGTGTAGAAGAAGATGATGGTGATTATCTCGATGATGATGATGATCAGAAGGGAGTTGTCGAACAAATATTTAATAGACACAAAAAAGACTAAATTTCAATCTCGTTTACTTATGTGTATAAACTTGTTTCATTAGGCAAATTTTTCTTTTTCTCTGTTCAAATAAAAAAATTTCTAATTGAAACTAATGGCTTACAATTCCATTGAACCGCCATTTGTAATTAAATTTAATAGATCTTTATGAACATCTTTAATAATAAGAACATCAGCAAATGCACCAGAATTTGTTTGTTCAAGACAAGTGGATCCAATGTAATTTAGTAAATTTAATTTAACACGCATTCCATTTGCATTTGTAGGAGATCCTGCTGATGTAATCGACAGTTCTTTTTTAATCATATTAGCGTGTTCTTGCAGATCAACAGATGAAAGTCGACTCAAATTCTCATCTAAATATACACACAGAAAGACAAATTATTTTTCTTATGTCATAGTTCAATGTGTAGGACGATATAAAATAAATAGAAATTAATACGAAAGATTAACGTCACATCAGGTTAACTTGTTCGTCATAGGAATGTGTTTTGTGGTTG